ATTGTTGGACTCCTTGGTTAGTGATTTTCCTTCAATTACTTTCTGTAAGGCTGGATTTGTGGCTGCGTATTGTTTAAATTTGTTTTTATCCTGGAAAATTTTATTTTCTCCATTTATAGTGAATGAAAGCTTGGCTGGGTATAGTAATCTGGGCTTGCACCCATGGTCTCTCAGTTTCTGCAGTACATCTAACCAGGACCTTCTGGCTTTCATGGTTTCCATGGAGAAGTCAGGTGTAAGTCTGATAGGTTTACCTTTATAAGTAATTTGGCCTTTTTCCTTTGCAGCTCTTAATATTCTTTCCTTATTTTGTATGCTTTGTGTTTTGATAATTATATGGCGAGGGGATGTTTTTTTTTGATCCAGCCTATTCGGTGTTCTGTATGCTTCTTGCACCTTCATAGGAAAATCTTTCCTTAGGTTGGGAAAGTTTTCTTCTATAATTTTATTAAATAGATTTTCTGGACCATTGAGCTGCCCTTCTTCTCCTTCTTCTACTCCTATTATTCTTAGGTTTGGTCTTTTTATTGTGTCCCATATTTCCTGAATGTTTTGTGATGAGAGTTTGTTGGACTTGCTGTTTTCTTTGATCAGTGTGTTTATTTTCTCTATGGTATCTTCAGAATCCGAGAGTCTTTCTTCTATCTCTTGTATTCTGCTGGTTATGCTTGTTTCTGTAGTCTCTATTCGTTTACCTAGATTTTCCATGTCCAGACGGCCCTCTGTTTGTGTTTTCTTCTTTGCCTCCATTTCAGTTTTCAGGTCTTGAACTGTTTCCATTATCTGTTTGATTGTTTTTCCTTGGTTTTCTAGGGTATCATTCACTGATTTATTCAATTCTTCAAACTTTCTGTTATATTTCTCATCCATTTCTATAAGGGCGTTTTTTACATGCTGTTTAAGGGTGTCAATCACTTTCATGAAGTCAATCTTTTCTCCTTCCTCTTGATTAAGGGGTTCTTGTCCTCCCGTTGTGAGGTCGCTTGTTTCTGGTAGCTTCATGTTGCTTTTCAGCTTGTTGGGCGAATTCTTGCCTTGACGTCGGCCCATCTCTTCTTCCAAATGCTCCCTATGGATCTTCTTTTACCGGATTAGGTCTCCTTGTCTACCAAACGCTGTCTCTCCCCAATGTTGGCTCTCCCAATGCTGGGACTCCCCAATGCTGGGTCTCCTGGCGCCGAAAGATCAGGCCTCCATGCTGGTTGGGCAGCTCGCAGACAAAGCGCCTACCCCGCTTGGTGCAGGCAGGCCACAGAAACAAAGGAACTGCTGCCCCCCGGGAGCCCCGGCTACTCGGACTCAGCGCCCAGATAGGCTGGGCTGGGCGATGCCACGCGCCAAAAGAGGGCAGTGGGGGCGAAGTGGGGAGGGCTCTGGACGGAAGCTGGGTGGGCCAGGAAGAAAGAGGCAGCACCCGGGGAGTAGAGGCCCTGCAGAGAGCCCAAGCAGGACAGGGGGCCAAGAAACCCCCGAGCTCCCCGTCCCAGGCTGGCGCCGTGGGCCAGAAACTCACCCCAATGCTGGGTCTCCTGGCGCCGAAAGATCAGGCCTCCGTGCTGGTTGGGCAGCCCGCAGACAAAGCGCCTACCCCGCTTGGTGCAGGCAGGCCACAAAAACAAAGGAACTGCTGCCCGCCCGGGAGCCCCGGGTACTCGGACCCAGCGCCCAGATAGGCTGCGCTGGGCGATGCTACGCGCCAAAAGAGGGCAGTGGGGGCGAAGTGGGGAGGGGTCTGGACGGAAGCTGGGTGGGCCAGGAAGAAAGAGGCAGCAGAGAGCCCAAGCAGGACAGGGGGCCAAGAAACCCCCGAGCTCCCCGTCCCAGGCTGGCGCCGTGGGCCAGAAACTCACCCCAATGCTGGGTCTCCTGGCGCCGAAAGATCAGGCCTCCGTGCTGGTTGGGCAGCCCGCAGACAAAGCGCCTACCCCGCTTGGTGCAGGCAGGCCACAGAAACAAAGGAACTGCTGCCCCCCCCCGGGAGCCCCGGCTACTCGGACCCAGCGCCCAGATAGGCTGCGCTGGGCGATGCTACGCGCCAAAAGAGGGCAGTGGGGGCGAAGTGGGGAGGGGTCTGGACGGAAGCTGGGTGGGCCAGGAAGAAAGAGGCAGCAGAGAGCCCAAGCAGGACAGGGGCCCAAGAAACCCCCGAGCTCCCCGTCCCAGGCTGGCGCCGTGGGCCAGAAACTCACCCCAATGCTGGGTCTCCTGGCGCCGAAAGATCAGGCCTCCGTGCTGGTTGGGCAGCCCGCAGACAAAGCGCCTACCCCGCTTGGTGCAGGCAGGCCACAGAAACAAAGGAACTGCTGCCCCCCCCCGGGAGCCCCGGGTACTCGGACCCAGCGCCCAGATAGGCTGCGCTGGGCGATGCTACGCGCCAAAAGAGGGCAGTGGGGGCGAAGTGGGGAGGGGTCTGGACGGAAGCTGGGTGGGCCAGGAAGAAAGAGGCAGCAGAGAGCCCAAGCAGGACAGGGGGCCAAGAAACCCCCGAGCTCCCCGTCCCAGGCTGGCGCCGTGGGCCAGAAACTCACCCCAATGCTGGGTCTCCTGGCGCCGAAAGATCAGGCCTCCGTGCTGGTTGGGCAGCCCGCAGACAAAGCGCCTACCCCGCTTGGTGCAGGCAGGCCACAGAAACAAAGGAACTGCTGCCCCCCGGGAGCCCCGGCTACTCGGACTCAGCGCCCAGATAGGCTGGGCTGGGCGATGCCACGCGCCAAAAGAGGGCAGTGGGGGCGAAGTGGGGAGGGCTCTGGACGGAAGCTGGGTGGGCCAGGAAGAAAGAGGCAGCACCCGGGGAGTAGAGGCCCTGCAGAGAGCCCAAGCAGGACAGGGGGCCAAGAAACCCCCGAGCTCCCCGTCCCAGGCTGGCGCCGTGGGCCAGAAACTCACCCCAATGCTGGGTCTCCTGGCGCCGAAAGATCAGGCCTCCGTGCTGGTTGGGCAGCCCGCAGACAAAGCGCCTACCCCGCTTGGTGCAGGCAGGCCACAGAAACAAAGGAACTGCTGCCCGCCCGGGAGCCCCGGGTACTCGGACCCAGCGCCCAGATAGGCTGCGCTGGGCGATGCTACGCGCCAAAAGAGGGCAGTGGGGGCGAAGTGGGGAGGGGTCTGGACGGAAGCTGGGTGGGCCAGGAAGAAAGAGGCAGCAGAGAGCCCAAGCAGGACAGGGGGCCAAGAAACCCCCGAGCTCCCCGTCCCAGGCTGGCGCCGTGGGCCAGAAACTCACCCCAATGCTGGGTCTCCTGGCGCCGAAAAGCTCTCCTCTTTCTTTTTCAGTGTTTTTTTTTTTTTTTTTTTTTTATTTTTCGAGACTGGGTTTCTCTGTAGCTTTGGAGCCTGTTCCAGAACTAGCTCTTATACACCAGACTGGCATCGAACTCACAGAGATTCACCTGTCTCTGCCTCCCAAGTGCTGAGATTAAAGGCGTGTGCTGCCACCGGCCGGCTCCATTGTAGTCTTAATGTAAAGAAGACGGTTACTGGAATTAACCTCTTAACTTTCCTTTGTCACCATTTGTTATGTTTCAGGGTGCCTACTGAGATTTTTATCATTTAATTTCTTTTCTTTTTTTTTTTTTTTGGATTTTTCGAGACAGGGTTTCTCTGTAGCTTTTTTGGTTCCTGTTCTGGAACTAGCTCTTGTAGACCAGGCTGGCCTCGAACTCACAGAGATCTGCCTGCCTCTGCCTCCCGAGTGCTGGGATTAAAGGCGTGCGCCACCACTGCCCGGTTTATCATCTAATTTCTGCAGATTTTTAAGTATCTCAGGCATTTAAAAGTATTCATAACAAAATAATTATTTGAATCATTTTTTGTGGATGCCATATGAATTCTAAACATGTGACCTTGTTGTGCTTGACTCCGCTTCCTCTCCTGAGATGGCTTCATCATTGCCCAGCTCAAATATTGTTTTGTGGTAGTTATCATTACATGGAAATGCTGAATTTCTTGCTATTGTTAGTGATAACTGAATATAAAGACTTTAATAGTTATTACTTTTAATGTTTGTTTCAGTATAGTTTTGAAAATTATATTATGTATGTCTGTTTTTGTGGAAGTATGTGCACATGATCCCAGGTCTCTTCAAAGGTCAGTAGATAGAGTCAGTTCTTTCAGAACTGGACTTACAGGTGAAGGATAGCCTCTGAGCGGAGGTTCTGGGAAATGAGTGTGGGCCTTTCGCAGAGGCTCTTCTTCACTGATTTTTCTGCCCCTGCTCTTGAACTTTAATGTGGGAATGATTAGAACGGAAAAATAGAGAGTAGGAGGCTAACAGCCAGGCACATGTTCAAGGGGTCCATTACTAGCTGGCTGGGATGTTTAAGTAGTTGGCTATGGAAGAAGATGAAGTGATTGTGGCAATTCGCTGCTTACAATCACTGTTTGCCTCATGAAATTACTTAAGAGAATAGGATTGTTACTTGTGTTGGCATGCTTTTTGAAGTCTTTGGAAATTAGTGTTTCATAAACCAGAAATGTCCTGTTCCCTTTTTTATATTAAAAATTGTAGAGTAGGACTGAAAAAAATCCCTTTTGGGATGTATTTTAGTATTTCCTCACTAGAGTGGAAACGACTGTGAGCATTCTATGTACCTTTTTGCTGCATTGAACTTAGGGTGTCAGCATGCCAGTGGATTTGTGTATATCTAGTTCTAAACAAAATAACAAGTCTGAAGACATTTGTTTAGACCCTTAACCTGATTGAACAGATTGCATAAAATAAATGTTATGGCCATGTGGATCAAAGGAAAATCTTATTTTCCATAGGAAGTTGCTTTCACTTTTTATTGTGTTAATTTTTTCCCAATTTCTACATCAGTTACTTCTAATGAAGAAAAATTTAAAAGAAACTTTGAGCATGCAGTTGTCTTATTTTGCGCCAACTTTATAATTACTTGTATCTCTCAGACTTGACTTTAATTGTCACATGATAATTTCTATAACTTATTGACTGTAGAAGATGACACTATGTATTTTTAAAAGAATAACTTTTTTGTTGTTAGCTTTTTAGTTGGAGAAGGAGCCTACAGATGGGCAGTGGATCATGGGATACCCTCTTGCCCTCCTAGCATCATGACCACAAGTGAGTAAAACCTTCCTGAGTTAAGCTGTGTGAACAACAAGCCTAAAGTGTTACATTACTTCTGTTCTCATACACAGGTAGAACACTTATGTTGAAATATTTAGAGGTAAAAGCCCAAATTTACTGATTTTTTCCATCTTTTTTTTTTTTTCTGGAGGTTTCTTCTTTGCTTTTTATTTTTAATCAGTCTTACTCTGTAACCAAGGTTGGTGTGGAACTTACCATATAGCTCTGGCTGGCCCTGATTGTAAGGTTCTCCTCTTAATTGCTAGGATTGCAAGTATGAGTCACTATTCCAGGTCTGAAAGTATTCCTGCAGCCTCATTCTTAGGTGACGTATATGATTGTGAATAGTAAAGCAACAGTGCTCTCTTTGAAGGATGCGGGAGGATTCCTAATTGCTCTTGAGCTGAGGAAGGATTACTTTTGGTTTTAGATTGGTTTATTTTTGTGTGTGTGGGTGTTTGTCTGCAGCTAAGTCTGTGTACCATGTATGTGCGGTGGGCCAGAAAAGGGCATCAGTTCCCCATAGCACTGGAGTTATAGCTGATTGTAGGCTACCACTTGGTTGCTGGCATGGGACCTGGATCCTCAGGAAGAACAGCAAAGGCTCTCAACTACTGAGCTATGTCTTCAGCCTCTTGCTTTGTATTTAGAGTCAGGATTTTGTCACTTTGTGCCTGAAGATGGTCTGAAACTTACTATGGAGCTCTTGGGGTGTAGTAATTGGAGCGGCGGGGCTTCGTCCCCAGCACCCCGGTTGCCTGCTCGGCTAGTTTATGCCCGAAATAACAACACACAAACTGTATTCATTTAAACACTGCTTGGCCCATTCTCTTCTAGGCTAATTCTCACATATTAATTTAGCCCATTTCTAATCATCAGTGTATGGCACCCCAAGGTGCGCTTACCAGGAAGATTCTAGCCTATGTCCATCCTGGGTCGGAGCTTCATCCTGGGAGCGGGGCATGGCGTCTCTCTCAGGAGTCTGCTCCCGAGAGCAGAGCTGTCGAGAGTCTGACCTCACTTCCTCTTCCTCCCAGCGTTCTGTTCTGTTTACTCCTTCCACCTATCCTCTAACCAATAAAATGGGCCAGGGAAGTTCCTTTATTAGCCAATGACCTTCCTCCATCATTGGGGTTGAAATGAGAAGGGCCCCATAAGTGAGTACATTTGATTGTTTGGTTTAGGGGTTGTGACCTTAGGAAGAGGTCTGTCACTGGGAGTGGGTTTTGCGGCTTCCCATGCCAGGCTCTGTCTTGCTGTCTCTTGATCTCCGTCTTGCTCATCAGTTGTAAGCTGTCAGCTACTGCTCCAGTGCCATGCATGCTTGCTACCGTATTTCCCACCATAATGAAACTGTAGGCAAGCTCCCAGTTAAACTCTTTCTCCTGAGTTGGGCACAGTGGTGCTCACCTTTGATCCCAGCACTTGGGAATCAGAGGCAGGTGGATCTCTGTGAGTTCAAGGCCAGCCTGGTCTACAGAGCAAGTTCTAGGACAGCCAGGGAAATCCTATCTCAAAAAACTGGAAAAAAGGCCTTTCTTCTCTAAGTTGCCTTGCTTTTGGTGTCTCTTAGCTACAACTGAACAGTAACTGAAGGAGTAGCTCATGCTGTCCCCAGACTTCATTCTTCTACCTCTGCTGCCCAGTTCCTTACCTTATAGACATAGGGCACAATGCCCCTGACCCTGAGGAATCAGCAACAAAAATTTTAGGCCTAGTATTATGAAAAAGATACATGAATTAAAACTGAAAAACCTCATAAGTAAGGCAATGATACATAGTTCAGTGTGAAGTAGTTTTGTTAAATTCAGAACCACAGCATACTAACATATTCATATTCCCTCCCTCCCTCTCTCTCTCTCTCTCTCTCTCTCTCTCTCTCTCTCTCTCTCTCTCTCTCTGCTTTTCGAGACAGGGTTTCTTTGTGTAATAGCCCTGGCTGTCCTGGAACTCACTCTGTAGATTAGGCTGGCCTCAAACTCACAGAGATCCGTCTGCCTCCCAAGTGCTGGGGTTAAAGGTCTGCAACACCACCGCCCAGCCTGACAAAGTTTTCTATAGAGGTATATAAAAGGTAATTTAAGCATTTAATTGAATAGCAATAGCAAGCAATGAGTAGTTTGAAGTGAACTCACTCCTATCTGCTACACCTAGGAGGAGCACGAAAACACATTCCTAGAGCAATTCTGAGTTTTGAAGAAACTGAGGTCACAAGACTTTTGTCTTGCTTTCTTGGATGTTCTCAGGCACTCAGAATTCTCACTTGACTACATTCCTGGACCTATTCTGACATAGGTTGGTTTGATGTGATTGATTCCTTTATTACCAGAAGATAGAAGCTGTGCTTTCTAACTATATGGTCTTAATTAATACTGAGTGAATAATAACAATGTTGATAATAATAATAATAATAATTAGAATGCATCAGTTATTTGTTTCATTGCTGTGACAAAATACCCACCAAAGCACATTTTGGAGGGAAAGGTTTATTTTGGCTTATAGTTGGTTCATGGTACACCACGGCTTGGAAGGTATGATGGCAGGAATAGGAGGTTTCTGGTCATATTGTCACCCGGGTTAGGAAGCAGAGAGTAATGAATGCTTATGTTTAAGTTGCTTTCTCTTTTTTTTTCAGTCCATAATTACAGTCCATGGAATGGTGCCACCCAAATCTAGGCTGGATCTTTCTATTTCATGTAACTTAATCTACACCCCTCACAGACATACCCAAAGTATTTTTATGGTTATTGTAAGTCCCATTAAGTTGACACTAAAGATTATTCACAAACAATAGTAATAATCAATACGATAGGAAATATTAGCAAATACAGTATATATATTATAAAAGCATATTATTTAAACATTTATTTTTTAAATTAAAAAATCATGACATATCTATCTATATATTTTAAGGTACATTTTGTTGCTTTGATTCTGTATGCATTCTGTGGTGGTGAGATCAGGCTAATAGCTTATCATGTGTGTGTGTGTGTATATGCATGTGCATGTGTGTGGTGCTTCCAGTGGGTTTTCTAGCAATGTCTCAGTTAGGATGCCACTGTTAGAGCTGAGCTTCAAGAACACCGTTATTTTCAAATACCTCTTTCATGTTGACTTTTTGTGATGTCACCCACTCCCTCCCGCCTTCACCCCTAGCGGCCACTAATTTATTACCCATCAGTATAATTTTGTCATCGTAAGATTGTTACATAACGCTACCAAATAGAGCCACTTGTGCCAAGCCTGATGACTTGAGTTTGATTACGTGGACCACATAGGGGAAGTAGAGAGCCAACTCCTGGAATTTGTCCTCTGACCTCAATATATATTCCATAACATGTCCATGCTATTGCATATACATTATTTTTATATTTACATTAGCTTTTTAAAATTAATTTTTATGTGTTTGTTAATATTTATTCCTCATTTATTTATTCCTTTAGCTTTTATTTGCTTGATAGTTAAGTGATTTTCGTCTCATTTTGTAAGCTATGTATGTAGTTTTTGCTATTTTCTTTAAGGTTGTGGTTATCATGGAGGTTAAATTTAATACATTAAGATTATAACTTAATTGAATTTGTGCTATTTTCATGGGACCATATTAGTAAGTTTTATTGTTATGTACCTCTGTCACCATTCTCTTTTAGTTATTAATGTCTCAAAATTTCATAATAGCCAATGATAGTTTAGCAAATACAGTAGGTGTCACCAAGACTGACAGCCTGATGTCCCAGCTTCTGTCTCAGATACACATGTTACAAGGAAAGAACTGATTCCTGAGAGTTGTTTTTTTTTTTTCAATTGCCTTTCTGTCTGGATAATATGTGGCCAAACACCAAAGAAGAAGAAACTTAAGGAGAAGGACCTTGTTCTGGCTACATATGAGGGGCACTGTCCACCCACAGTCAGGAAGCAGAGAGAATAAAGACTGGTTCTCAGCTTGCTTTATTCTTCTGGTTCTGTCCAGGACCACAGACCATGCAGTGGTATACCAACATTCAGGGCAATTCCTCTCTCTCCAGTTGAAACTCTCTGGAGTCCTCTCAGAGGTACATCCAGGGGTATTTCCTCGGTGATTCTAAATGCAGTGCAGCTGACAGTGAAGATGAGACATCATCTGCACCGAGGTCACTGTTTCCTCCTCTGATCATACAGATAGCATGAACTCTCCAGTTCGCACTCATCCTGTGAACACTTTCTCTCCTTCAATCTGGACACAAGGTTAAGACTTGAAGCCTCATCTCATTCTTTGTGGTAGCTAGTTTCACTGTTCATGTGGGGTGTCAGCCTCCGGGATTCTCTCCTTCTCTTGTAGCGCATCTCTAACACACTTTCTAGTGCTCTCTTCCCTATGTTCATCTCTTAGGTCTATGCATAGAGATGGTCACGGGTCTCCAGGTTCCCCGCGCCCTGTCTCCCTTCAGAACTCAGTTGTTTCTCTGATTTGCCCTTTTTCTTAAGTTTCTAAACTTGTGCTATTTGTTTCGTTTTCCAGTTTTGTCAGCGTACCTTGGAAAGACTTTTAAAAAGCAGAAGTTCAACAGTGCCTTTTTTTTTTTTCCCCTAGGAAGACGTTTCAAAATTATCTCTCTGGCCTTCTTACTCTAATAATTCTAAAGTGTTATTTTTGTTCTTCTCTTTTGTAGGATTCAGCTTAGCTGCATTTAAAAGGAACAAGAGAAAATTAGAACTGGCAGAAAGGGTGGAAACAGACTTCATCCAGCTAAAGAAAAGAAGACAATCAAGTGCAAAGGTCAGGAGATGTCTGAAGTGTTTGCTCATGCGTGGTAGTGATACTGCTGACCTGCCTTTAGAACAGTACAGTCCATTTGAAACATAACATATGCCATATATATATTTTAAAGCAGAACAGAGCTGGTGGGGCTCATTAAGTAAATGTACCTACCACCAAGCCTGATAACCCCAGTTCCTTCCCCAGAACCCACATGGTAGAAGGAGAGAACTGACTTTTATAAATTGTCCTCTGATCTTCAGGTGTGTGTTGTGACAGTCACTTATTTTGCAGATGTGCATGCATATATAATACATGTATAAAAATGTAATTTAAAAAGTTAAATTTGAGTTGGGTGTGGTGGCACATGCCTTTTTCCCAGCATTCAGGAGGCAAGTGGCTATCTGAGTTTAAGACCAGTCTGATCTACAGAGCAAGTTCCAAGACAACCAGGGCTACACAGAGAAACCCTGTCTCAAAAAGAAAAAGAAAAAAGTAAAATTTGATTGTGAAGAGAAACAAGTGAAATGAGTTTTAAAATGTAAACAAAACAATAGAATTAATTTTAATAACATATATTAAGAGATTAAAATCTTTTGAAAATAGCTTTTGAACTACAATCAGTGTGAAAATTAATAATGAGCTATTTTAAAGTTTTGTTGAAGGATGGCAAGATGGTTCGGCATATAAAGGCACTTGCTGCCTAGCCTGATGACCTGAATTTGATGGTCATTGTAGATGGGTAGAGCAGACTTCTAGAAGTTGTCCTTTGGCCTCCACATGTATTCTGTGGCATGTGTATCCAATCACATAAATATAAACAAATAAATATGTAAATGAATGCATGTAATCAGATTAACTGCTGAAAAATAAATTTACAGATTTAGTTATTAGAATCATACTTCGTAGTGGCTAAAAATGTTTCAAAATGGAACTTAATTTAAATTGAATAAAATAAGAAACTTAGTTTTTCATTTGCCCATTCTTTATTTCACTAGCTCAGTGGCTACCAAAATGCCGTATGAATATTGTTTTGTTTTGGTCCTTCTGTATTACTTACTTTTGAGAGTAGAGCGAAGCTGAAAACTTCAGTGTTCTTCAGCCTGTGGGTTTAGGGCTAGCACACAGCTCATGGTCGGTGTGTCATGTCACATCGTCCTTTGGTGCACCTGACCTCTCTCTAGTCATTCTGTCATGCCTCATGAACTCCTTCATGCTCCTTTCAAAGTTTTGTGTGCTTGCAGTTAAGTAAAAAAACCCATCTTTCATAGTAATAGGTATTTTCTCAGTATGTTTCCTCGCAGGATAATTCATCCACTAATTTAGTCCAGTTCTGTTTGGATGTCTCACAACAATGGATTTTAGGAAACAAATAAATAAATTAATAGACAGATTTGATGAAAGCTGGTGTAGTCTGGTTCCTCTATTTGTGTTTTTGCATCCTTTATGATACCTGGGTAAACAAATTCAGGCCTTTTTGCATTTTGAAAAAAGTTATGAGTATCTGGCCTGCCTGTGTGAAAGCCAAGTGAGTATTCAGGAGGTTGAGTAGATGGGCCACAGGCCACAGAGTATGACCTTGTCCCCAAAACAAGATGACATAGTATGCAGCTTCATCTGTTTTCACAACTGTGTGAACTCTTGCAGCCCCAGTCATATCAAGGCACAGAACATTTCAGGTTTTGTTGTCCTGCAGTTAACCCCAACCTAGTGGCCATTCTTCCACTTTATCCCACCACAGATGTTTTGTGCTGCTGTTGTTTGGAATGTGTTCTCTTTTGTTTACTCTTTCACAGAATAGTTTTAGATGCCCTGTTATTAGTCCCTTAAAACAAATAGGTAGCACTAAGTAATATTTCCTAATGTGCATAGACTATAATTTGCTTATACTGTCTCCTGTTGCAGATTGGCTATTTCTGGATGTTTACTATTAGGAATAATGCAGCTGTGATATTTTTACAGTTCCTTTTTATGGTTATTAGTTTAGGATTCTATGCATAGAAATATTGTGTTTTACAGAGGCTGTTTGTAGCTGGTCATTACCTATTCAGACCACTTTTTTTAATTCTGAAAATAATTGTGTGCCAGCTAATAATAAAACAGAGCTGAAACTGCAGTCAGGACATGAAATAAATAATAATAATAATAAAGAAAACAGCGGTGAGCAAAATGTTCTAGTGAGATTTTATGTTTTAGTGAACAGAGACATAAAAATACATAATTACGTTATTATGTTCTGTAAATTTTCATTCTAATTTATTTATCTTATATGCTGACTGCAGTTTCCCCTCGCTCCTCTGCTTTCATTCCCCCCACAACCTATGCCTCCTCTGTTTCTGTTCTGAAAGGGGCAGGCCTCCATGGTTATCAGCAAAGTATAGAGCATTGAGTTGCCATTAGACTAAGCACCTCCCCTTCTTCTTAGACTGGGCAAGGCGATCCATTATGAGGATAGGTTACTAATGGCCTGCCAAAGCATTGGGGACAGATAGTCCCTACTCCCATTGTTACAAAGGAGTTCCACAAATACATCAAGCTACACAACTGTCACATATATATAGAGGGCTTAGGCTGGTCCCATGTAGGCTTCCTGGTGTGTTGCTTCAGACTTTGTGAGTTCCTGTGAGCCAGGTTAATTGTTTCTGTGGGTTTTCCTCCAGTATTCCTGACCCCTCTGGCTCCTACAATCTCTCCTCTCTCTCCTTAGCGGAACTCCCCAAGCTTGGCCCAGTGTTTGGCCATGGTCTGTAAATCTGCTTCCATCAGTCACTGGATGTAGGCTCTCTGCTGATAACCAGGATAATCACCAATCTGATCACAGGGAATGACCATTTCAGGCTATGTATCCACCATTGCTAGGAGTCTTAACTGGGGTCATCCTTGTAGATTTGTGGAAGTTTCCTTGCACTGACGCTGAAATGTCCCCCCTTTCCAGTCATCTCTTAAAGTATTCTCGCCCTCCACACATCCCCCAACCAAATTCCTCAAGTTTCCATGCCCACCTACCCCCAAATGACTCAGGAAAGCTTTCTTATTTTCCATTCCCAGAGAGATTCATGCATTTCCCCATCTTGGGCCCTCTTCTTACCTAACCTCTCTGGGTCTGTGGATTGTAGCATAGTTATCCTTTATACTTTAGAGTTAATATCCACTTATCAGTGAGTACATACCATGTTTGTCTTTCTTGGTCTTGGTTACCTCACTCAGCATGATTTTTTTCTAGTTACATCAATTTGCCTTCAAAATTTCTGGTGTCATTGTTTTTAACAGCTGAGTAATACTCCATTGTGTAAATACACCAAATTTTCTTTATCTATTTTTCATTTGAGGGGCATCTCAGCTGTTTCTAGGTTCTGGCTATTACAAATAAAGCTGTTATGAACATAGTTGAGCAAGTGTCCTTGTGGTATGATTGAGGATCTTTTGGGCATATTGCCCAAGATTGGTATAGCTGGGCCTTGAGGTAAATTGATTCCCCGTTTTCTGTGAAACCACAATATTAATTTCCAAAGTGGCTGGACAAGTTTACACTCCTACCAACAACGGGGAAGTGTTCCTCTTGCTCATTATCCTCTCCAGCATAAGCTGTCATTTGTGTTTTTGATCTTAGCCATTCTAGCAGGTGTAAGCTGGAGTCTCACAGTTGTTTTGATTTGCATTTCCCTGATGGCTAATGATGGATGAACATTTCTTTAAGTTTTCTGTACCATTTGAGATTCTTCAGTTGAGAATTCTCTGTTTGGGTCTGTACCTCATTTTCAAATTGCATTATTTGCTTTTTTGATGTCTAGTTTTTTGAGTTCTTAATATATTTTGCAGATTATCTGCCAGGTGTGAGTTATGTTTTATAATTGTTAAGGGGGAAAAAAAAGAGAAGAAGATGGTATGATACAGTAGCCTAAATGTGAGAGTCTGAAGATAAGATTCCCTCCATTAGGGTGATCAACAGAGATTCCCTTGCGTTGACATGTTTGCCCTCTGCATGATGGGAATATGCTTTATAAAAATAAAAGTAGGATTCCCCTCTGTATACTGTGAATATGCTCTATTACTGTTGATGAATAAAGAAGCCTATGGCAAGGCAGAATATAGCAAGGTGGGAAATCCAAGCAGAGATAGAGGAGGAAAGAAGGCAGAGTCAGGTAGATACCATGTAGCTGCTGCCCAAGAAACAAGAAATAACAAACCACAAGCCTCATGCTAAAATACAAAATAGTAGAAATGGGTTAATTTAAGATGTAAGAATTAGTTAATAAGAAGCCTGAGCTAATAGGCCAAATATTCTTGTAATTAATTTAGTTTCTGCATGATTATTCGGGTGAGAGTGGTCAGAAACAAAAGTGCAGTCTCTGCTTACAAGTGAATTTTTACACTTTTTACAAGTGTAATACTCATTCTGTAATACTCAGAATGACCTGTGTCTACAAAGGCCATTGTGGAGGGTTGTCATAGAGTGGGATGAAGAAAAGAGTCAGTGTGAGCAGCGGTGGGTGGTGTGGGATGAAGCTGAAGAGGCAGATATGGACTAGATCCTTCAGAATAGAATGCATGTGGAAGGAAGTTTCAGCTTTATTTCACAGATGAGGGAGGGGGACTTGATCGGGGGGAGGGGGAGGGAAATGGGAAGCGGTTGCGGGGAGGAGGCAGAAATCCTTAATAAATAAATAAATTAAAAAAAAATAAATAAAAAGATTTAAGCACAATAAAAAAAAATACAAAAAAAGAGCTACCTTTTAGTGTGCTGTGCTCCTGTTCCTTTCAGCCAAATGCATCAGTATCCTCATTGTGATCATTGCTTTTTATTATTAAAATTATATAATCTGTTATTTTATGTTGGACAAGAATAATGCATTTAAAAAGAGAGTTGTCTGCTTGAAAACTAAGGATTGTTTGAATATTGAGTGCTCTACTGGAAAAGTTAATTGAAAAAGCAGAATTGGCTTCTAAGACATTGAGGCAGGCGGATCTCTGTGAGTTCGAGGCCAGCCTGGTCTACAAGAGCTAGTTCCAGGACAGGCTCC